TCACAGGTTTCGAATTCTGATCACGAAGGGCCTCTCTGGAAAAGCACATTCAAAGATACTATCTTGCTCGTCTTCCTTTAACATGAACAGGATAGTTTACTCAACAGAGCAAATTTTAAAATTCTAGTTAAATATGAACTTACTGTAGCTTTATGCAATACTCAGTTTAGACTGGGGATGGGGAATGTGTCTATAGAGATTGCTGGACTGCAGTTCCCATCATCCTTGACCATTGACCATGTTTGCTGGATCTGATGGGAGTCAGGAGTCCCAACGACATCAGAAAAGGGGCCACAGATTCCCCATCTCTGGTTTGGACTTTTTCACTTGGAAGCATGTACACATTAATGGCTTGAAACCCAGTGAACTCATCCACCCTGTTGCATTTCAAGTTGCTGCACATACCAGAGATCGGGCAGGGATGTCTTCAACCTACGCCCATTGTCTGATTCATTTGCATGCACAACGGCTGCCTGAAATGTACACATCTCAACTTAACTGCGGCTTCTGTTTTCAAATCGGGTGGAAACTTCTTTGATGGAAAGCCCATCAAATGGGAGTATTTATCGAGAAGCTACAAGATACCTGTGGATTATGGCGAGCGTTGTGTACTCTGCTCCAAACACTAGCAGTGGGAGCCCACTGGACCCAGAATAAGCATTAATGTGTACACTACCTTAGTGTACTGTAACAATTCTGAAGAGAGGCTTTTTTGGGTCTCGAGTTCCTCACTTACTGGAGGAAAATATCTCTTTACTTACCTTTGGGCCTTTCACTCAAGCATCCCATGCCTGTTGTGTTCCAACTTCTGGTATGTTTTCAGTGCTTGGACGAGCCAGCGCAGCAGAGCAGTATAATGCCTGTCAGTTAGCTTTTCTGCAAATTTAAAGAAAGCTAACTGCTCTCCCCAAAGAGTAGGAATCATGAGTTTTCTCCCATCTTATTTTTAGCTGTCCTTCACAGTGGTTGTTTCTCTTGCAAGAAGGGGATGCAGAGGGGAGGTTTACTGTGGAACGCACAACACAGTGCTCTGGTAATGTTTAAAAGTGGTGCCTGTGCTAATCTAATACAAGCCCACCACAGATCCCAGGGGAGCTTGCCTGGGTATTCCAAAGCAAGTTTTAATAAGATCCAGAAGGTGTTTGTGTAATAAAAGCCAGATTTTAATTTATTCTTGAAAACTAAATTTGCTTTTATAATGTTTGCATTTGAAAAGGATTGACTTTACCTTTGGGGTGATATAATTCTTGCTTTGCATAGAATCCCCCCCCCCCCCAAAGTATCTAGCTTACTCCAAAAGTTGGGATGGGGTGGGCAATGATTTGTTTGTTTGTTTACTATGGGGCAGATCATCTTAACTATCGTCTAGGGCAGGGCCGGCTAACCTGTGGTCCTCCCGATGTTGTTTGACAACCCCCCATAATCACTGACCATTGGGCATGCTAGCTGGGGCTAACGGGTGTCAGAACCAGCAGCATCTGGAGGACCACAGGTTAGCCACCCTGTTCTGGGTGCTTTATTGTTTCTCTAAAAGGTGAACTGTTTCTCTATAAATTACTTGCTGCCTATGGCTGATGCACTGAAGCTTCTCTTCGTCACAAGCCGATCTGTTTAACAGACTTGTAGCGGGTTAATCATAATTAACTCTATGGCTGTTGCTGAGGTGGAAAGCTGATCCCCAGCCATCTGGTAGTATAATTGGGTTGCACCAAACTCCAGCAAGCTCCACGAGGAAATGCTGTGGCCATTTCTGCGCTCAGCTTCTCTGACATATAAACCTGATGTACTATTAATACATTTGTGGCCAAAATTAATCAAAGGTGGCTTATGGGGCAGTTGCACCTGTAAGCATCTAGTATGCTCAGGATGAAATCAGTTAGTGGTGGTTGTTTTTCGGTTCCCTTTCAATAGTTAACGCAGAGTTTGAATGGAAGCAAAGAGTTTCTGTCCCCACCACACCCCTTATTGCTGCAAAGGAGTAGAATTGACAGGCATACAGCTGTCGCTAAACGATAAGGCATTTGGATATTTCCAAGCACCCAGAAAAATCATAAATTGATATTTGCCTCTGGTTTGAGCCCATTTCCAATCCCCTTAATTGTAAGTCATTCTTCAGTATGAGATTATGAAATAAAAGCAGATTGGAGGGGGATTACCGTATTTTTCAGTCTATAACACGCCCCCATGTATAAGACACCCCCTGTTTTGGGGGACTCAGATTTAAGAAAATGGGGGGAGACACTATCCGTGTATAAGATATCCCTTAATTTTTGGCATTATTTTTTAGGGGGGGGGAGAGAAACCTAGTCTTATACACGGAAAAATACGATAATTTAAGAAATGTCATGGACGGGGATCCAGATAAGTAAGCAACTAGCTCTGTGCTCCCCAGGGAGCTTTGGACATGTGTTTATTGAGTAGCAGCCCTCTCATGACACATGGCAAAATCCATATTTGAAAATGAGAGGGGGAGAAGGGGGTTTGTGGGAAGCAAAGAAGGAAAAGGCAGAAATCCCTCTTGGCTTGCCCAAAGCCCTTACACATGTCTAAAGTTGTTGTTTAGTCGTTTAGTCGTGTCCGACTCTTCGTGACCCCATGGACCAGAGCACGCCAGGCACCTCTGTCCTCCACTACCTCCCGCATTGGTCAAACTCATGCTGGTAACCTCGAAAACACTATCCAACCATCTCGTCCTCTGTCGCCCCCTTCTCCTTGTGCCCTCCATCTTTCCCAGCATCAGTGTCTTCTCCAGGGAGTCTTCTCTTCTCATGAGATGGCCAAAGTATTGGAGCCTCAGCTTCACGATCTGTCCTTCCAGTGAGCACTCAGGGCTGATTTCCTTCAGAATGGATGCGTTTGATCTTCTTGCAGTCCATGGGACTCTCAAGAGTCTTCTCCAGCACCATTATTCAAAAGCATCAATTCTTCGGCGATCAGCCTTCTCTAAAGTAGCTCTTCTAATTTACAGGTGAAGGGGAAGATGTAAAGTAAGTGGACTACTAGGTTAAGGCATCTTTTGGGCAGGATTTACACTGTTGTTGTTTTGTTATTTTCTGCTCAGAGGGGCCAGTGTGGTGAGGGGTGGTCAGGATGTGCCACTGCCCCAGATGAAAATATATTACTACGAACAATGTTCCAGTTCCTATTTGAGAACTGGTAAGTCACCAGTAAATTGTGCAAGTTGCTCTCGCTGCCTTTTAAATAGTCTTGGGTGCTTTCTGCCTTGTGGGCTTGAGTTTTGAAAGGCTTCATCAAAAGGAATGGGCAGCCAAAATACAAAGTCCGTTCAGCCCGTACTAAGATGTTAAATGAGGCTCCTAGCTGGCAGAAAGGCCGATAATGAAAATGATTGTTATTGAGGCTCACCATTGTTACAGTTTGTTGCACTTACTAGAAGGAATTGTACAAAAGAGGATAAGATATCCCAGGCCATTCTGGCTGGACAATTTAAATCCTTGTTTTATCAGCATTAAATTATGAACTGAAACCTGCTTGTTCTTACAAGCAGGAATAAATAACACATTTTGTACCTTTTCTTTCCATTGTTGGTATGCATACATCATTCAGAATCCTATAGGGTTAGACCCAGGCTTCACCTTCTATGAACAGAAGGGTTTTGATCTAGAGGAGCAATAACAGTGGTGTTTGGGCAAGGGTGGGTGTGACTTTTTATGATTTCCCACGTCCCCTGCAGCCCCCAGCATATAATCCTCCACACTGTCCTGGAAGGCCCCCTAAATCAATCTAAACTGTGTGGAAACGGTACTGAGGGCTGCAGGAAAAAGTGAGTTGTCAAAAGTCATCTCTTTATGCCATCAGATCCTATGGGCAGAGTCTTCCCCTACCCATTCTTTCTCTAGCTCTGTTTTTCTTGCCCGTGCAGCTGGTTTCTATGATGTGTTTTGGTTTGCTTTCTTTATTCTACTTGTGAATTCCATTGAAGTTTTTAGTTGTTATTTTTATTTAAGAATAGGTTGGTGTCATTTGACGTTGGTCCTAATATTGTATACCTGATTTTGCAATACAGCAGCTCCATGAGCTTTCTGAAACCAAGAATTCTTTCAGCAAGCACGTGTACCTAGTGAATGTATTAATGTGGACACTAATTGCTGTATGAATCTTGCACTAGGGGAATAAGGAGTAAAGCATTACTGCTACTCGGAATGGCCTCTCATGTTTGTGATGGGAAGCAGAACACCTAGCTCACTTAAATAGTTCTGATGCTCTTACTCTTGGGCTTTGTATTATTCCACTATTGTGACTCCCTTAACCATTCACAGCAGTTTCAAAAAGCAGTAGGAAAAGAGCATTAGACTTACTTTCCCTAGCTCCAGCTTTCCATAGAATTGGTAATCCTTGTCTGCTTCCCTGTTTTGAACATGTCTGAGTGATTAAAAATAATAATAATTAGTGGAGTTAAAATATTTTGTTTGTCTTTGCATTCCAGTTCCTCTCAGAGAGATGCTTCATATCTAATCTACTTGTGGATAGCTATTGGAACAAATGTTAAGCATTGCTATTAATAACCAGAGTCTGCTCCTAACCAGAATTTGAAGTTATGGCTTTATAACTGGTTTCATATTCAGGTTAGAAGCAAACCATGGTGAGTGTTAAGTGTGGCCAATAGTAATGATGCAGGCTAACCATGGTGCATAGCTAACCATGGTGCAGGGTGAAAGGAATTGGCATGTGGGAGGGAAGATGGATGAGGGAGGGGAGTTTGCAATTTCATGGCACACTTTCCTTAACCTTCGGTTTAAAATAAAGGTTCTTATGACTGTGGCAGCCAAGAGTTCTTCCTTTTAGCCCGCTAGATCTGTTACAGTTAAACCCTTTACTTGGTGGGTAAACTATTTTATATGGATCAGAAAAAGAACTCCCCCCTCCAAAAAAAAATGTACTTAATACGTTGATTTCTAGCAGCTCATGCTCCAATACATTTTGAAAGGAAACAGTCTTTAAAATGATTTATCCTGCTTTCATGTCTGTCTGTTTTATAGGTGACCCTGAACGAGAACTTAACCCTAAGAAGAAAATATGGGAGCAGATCCAGCCTGACCTTCATACTGATGGCCAATGTGTTGCTACGTACAAAGGAGTGCCATTTGAAGTGAGGGGGAAAGGGGTCTGCAGAGCTGCTACCATGGCCAACAGTGGAATCAAATAAACATTTATCGGTTCTGCAAGTGCTTTAGGTCATTTTTAATGGAAAGGAATGCAAACACAATTAAAAACAAATAATTGCCTCACCCGAAACTATGCTCATTCGTTTTTGTACACCTGTTACCAAATAATGAGTTTCCACGGCTAACAACTTCATATTTCTCTTTCATCGCGTCCTGCTTTCTGGAATCTGAATATAGGCATTCATTAGGTGGAGCGTAACTCTTGCTTTCAGGGCAAATGGCTTTTAAAAGGGCAAAAGGAGGTTCAATTTTTGTGAAGTGGGGAATAGATTAAGTCAGAGGAACCGGGATAATGATTATTTGGTGGAGGAAGAGTCGGAAACGTCTAAACAACAACAGTTAGATAAATTGTGTGTGTGTTTGGATGGATGTGCAAGTTGACTTTGCCTGCTAAGGATAGTGAGTGCCTGTACCATACTATAATTACTTTATATTAAATCATACTGGAAAAACTACAGCTGTAGTTAAAAAGTAAAGGTAAAGGTACCCCTGCCCATACGGGCCAGTCTTGACAGACTCTGGGGTTGTGCGCCCATCTCACTCAAGAGGCCGGGGGCCAGCGCTGTCCGGAGACACTTCCGGGTCACATGGCCAGCGTGACAAAGCTGCTCTGGCTCGCCAGAGCCACACACGGAAACACCGTTTACCTTCCCGCTGGTAAGCGGTCCCTATTTATCTACTTGCACCCGGGGGTGCTTTCGAACTGCTAGGTTGGCAGGCGCTGGGACCAAGCAGCGGGACCGAGCGCACCCCGCCGCAGGGATTCGAACCGCCGACCTTTCGATCGGCAAGCCCTAGGCGCTGAGGCTTTTACCCACAGCGCCACCCGCGTCCCACAGCTGTAGTTACTGATCACTTAATAACCGAAATCACCAGTTGAGCTAAATTTGGCATACAAATTTTACCTACAAGTTCCTACCTAAATTGAATTTGAGAAGTAGGCTAAGATGAAGACTAGATATGACTCAGTTAGATATGACCTGATACCAGAAAATCTAAAAGCTGGTTTTTAAAAAATAATATAAAAAATGCTGTAATGAAATTTTATGTCACACATTGCATTTAAAAAAAAAAAAACATTTCTAGCCTTTCATCACAAGCAATCCCAGGGCATGGTTCAGTAAGCAATTTAAAACTAAAACAAAATAATAATAAAAACAGACTTGTATATAACATACCATTGTGCTGTAAAATTATATCTGGCATTCTTTCACGGGGTATTGAAGATAACAGTTCTGTTTCTTCCAAAATGGTATAAATGCATTTATGAACAAGAGACGGAATGGAGCACAGATGTGGAAATTATGGAACTTTGCATTGCAATTTAACTAAAAGAGCAGGGCTGGTTAATATAAATTAATTACAAATGGGCTGGGAGAAGGTTGGGGGTGTCTATGATGGGAGGGAGAGCCTGGTCCATATACCTAATAGTTTGAACTAAACAATGGTTTAGAGTGCACTAGAGGTTTGCTCCCTTCCTGCAACACATCACAAGTTTGGGTTTGCATAGAAGCCAGACTCTGGGTGCCAGCAGAATCAGGAGCAGACCATTGTTTGTTTTAAACTCTGACTTTAATGTGTGCAAACCAAGCTAATGATTTACCCCCTGTTAATCGTTTTGTGAATCAGGGAAGTACAGCATTCATAGGAAGTGTTCAGCCAATGAGAGAGGTGAAAATGAGAGGTTAAGAAAATTCTTGGGTTGAGTGCAGGAGACTGATTTGATCCTGGACATATGGTGTGGAAACAAGCCCTGTTTTTTTCCATAGGCTTAAGTAGTCTAGTATTAAAGTTACTGGGCAAAATCTAGAGAGATTAAGTGTCCCAAAGTTCCTTTGGATGAACAGGATTTAAGTATTTAACAGTATGCTTGCTTAGGCATAGCTACCCTTCCCTACATCTTACCTTCTTTCTCAGCAGTGTTACTGAGTTCAACCATTTCTTTGGATTCAGTGGCATTTCACTGAGGTTGTGCACCATTACTAATTACTTTATAACACAATTTATGTGAATGCTGACGGGTTAGCAAACGATGACCAGATTGTCTGGCAGACCTCTTCTCCCTGGCTTTACTTGAGGAGGAGCCGGAGCCAACTAAGTTGGGAGAAGCTGATACACAGTTGAAAAGAGGCCTCTGGTTTGATGCGCTAGCTACTTCGTTGTAAACTATCCTTAATCTGTAAATCGAGACATTGGTCTGTTTAGACATCGCATTAAAACATCGTTTAAAGCAGTCATTTAATCTGATCGATCAGCATGCTTGTGCACGCGGCTCAAAAGTTCCCATGGTGGTCCTCTCCTGTTCCTGTCACCACCACAAACAAATTGGCTATTCATGCCATTTCATCCAGATTTGGGCCAAATTGTGAGCAGTAGCTATGAATGGAATTCAACTATTACTCAGAGTAGACCCTCTAAAATTAAGCGACAAATTAGTCATGTTCAGTAATTTCATCGGGTCTACTCTGAGTAGGTATAGTGTTGAATTCCACCCTATGGTTCTGGGCATATTAAAAGGTAAAGGGACACCTGACCATTAGGTCCAGTCATGGCGCACTCTGGGGTTGCGGCGCTCATCTCGCTTTATTGGCCGAGGGAGCCGGCGTACAGCTTCCGGGTCATATGGCCAGCATGACTAAGCCGCTTCTGGCGAACCAGAGCAGAGCACGGAAACGCCGTTTACCTTCCCACTGGAGTGGTACCTATTTATCTACTTGCACTTTGACGTGCTTTTGAACTGCTAGGTTGGCAGGAGCAGGGACCGAGCAACAGGAGCTCACCCCATTGCGGGGATTCAAACCGCCGACCTTCTGATCGGCAAGCCCTAGGCTCTGTGCTTTAACCCACAGCGCCACCCACGTCCCTTCTGGGCATATTACTCATGGTTTTGGGGGGATGAAACAAAACAATATGTCAAGAGCTACTCTGGCTTGTTTTGACTGATATAGCAGGAGCAGGTAAGGAGCAGCATGGGAGTTTCTGAGTAGTTATACAAGCAGCAGCATCATTTTATTTGCATGCTTCCTTTCCATCGTTAAAACCCGTGCTCAAGCTGGTTTACAGCTCGGCAAGATTTACATAATTACAAACCTAATAAAACGCATCAAAAAGCACACAAACTGAAACAATTTCCACATAAATCAAAATAAGATCTAAAAATAAAGATACAAAAAGTAATATTTATTATTATTTATTAGATCTGTATACCGCCCTATACCCTCGGGTCTCCGGGCAGTTCACGAGATGCCTAATGAGCTTTAAAGTTAAAAGACAAGACACAAAAGCAAGCTGAAAGTAAATCAGCTGCTTAAGTTTATATCATTTGTTTAAATACAAGGGTCTGGTAACTGTTTTGCTTCAAAAACTCCATAATTTTCCTTAAAACTTCTAGGTGTTCCTGTTTCAGAGGCTGTTCATGATTGCCTACAAAAATGTACTTTTGCTCCACTGACTGCAGGAGTTTATGAAGTGTGTCTGTGGCAGAATGCAAATACTGTTCTGTAGTGAATCTGGCCTTTTCAATCTGGTCAGAATGAGTAAGACAGATGACAGTATAACTTTTCCAGTTAGGACCCAAGAGTTCCTAAAAGAGAGAGAGAGAGAAAGTTCCTTAATACATTTATTTCATACATTATTTCATCAAAGAGCAATGCATTGGCTTGGCTCTGCAATGAGGCTTTTCTTTCCTATAGTGGGGAAGTCCTTATGAGCAATCTTCCTTTGGAAGTTGACTTCAATTCAATCGGTCTATATAAAAGATGAATTTATAGTGGGTTGCCAGTTGCCTGAATGGCTTAAATGTTGAGAAGTGTAGGCTTGAGCTCCTTGGAATAAATGAATAAATATGATGCATAGACTTTGGGGGAATCACTTGTTTCAATGGCATCCATGTTGTCCATTTACAACAGGACCTGCTGAGGAGTGGCAGTCAATTTGCCATCTTGTGGCTGAATTGGAGGTTGCAATTCAGTAACAATTGCCAGAATAATCCCAGCTCAAGGACTGTGTACTGTGTTAGAATTCTCAGCTCCTAGAGCTCACCAAACCCATAAAGGCAAAAAGGATGATAATTTGTTCTACTTGTGAGGCTAGATATACAAAGTTAAACCTGGATTCTTGGCACAGCCCATATGTATGTTCAGGGATCAAAACACATCATTTAATTAGGGGTTGCAAAGCAAGATTGGTGGCTGAAAATAATACAGTTGAGAACCAAGCAGTCACCGTAAAAAGGAAGATGATGCCCAAAGGTTTTAAAACTTTCAGAGCCTGAATTAATGAAATTCCTTGATGCTATAATAATAATAACAATAATAATAATAATAATAATTTTGTTTACCGTATATCCCGCCCTCCCCGGCCAAAGCCGGGCTCAGAGTGGCTAACAACAAGTAAAAATAGCATAGTGTACATAAAATCACACAGTCAATTAATTAAAATGCATTCTAAAATCAATTCAGAATCAAATTAATGGTAACAGTTGGGCTAGAGTTCTATGAGGATTACAGAAGGGGAGAGGGGGTCAGACTGTGCCTTGGCCAAAGGCTTGGCAGAACAGCTCCGTCTTACAGGCCCTGCGGAAAGATGTCAAGTCCCACAGGGCCCTAGTCTCTTGTGACAGAACGTTCCACCAGATCGGGGCCACGGCCGAAAAAGCCCTGGCTCTTGTTGAGGCCAGCCTAACCTCCCTGTGGCCAAGATGTTTTTATCTGAAGACCATAAGGTCCTCTGTGGGACATACCAGGAGAGGCGGTCCTGTTCCTAAGTGGCACTGTCCCAAGGTCAACGTGTGTAATACCCAAAATCAGAGACAGGCTGGGTACCACAAATTTCTTTTTCTGCGGGTGACTTGCTGGGGCCCCATACCCAGTTCTGAACAGATTTGCAAGCCTAGTAAACATGATTTAAATGCATCCTGGACAGCTTTTACAACTGCCTCATTCTGCAGACAGTCTCCTGCTTTGAACACCCTTTAACTTGCTTGAGCAACCCATGGCCATAGGAGGGGGAAGATCCTGTCGTGGTGTTCCTCGAGATTCTTGTGGATGTATTCTGCAGCATTGTCACCATAATAGTGCATCAGTGGTGGATTTATTCAGCTTTACTTCTGCAATGCTGACCCAATGCGCCCATATTATTGCTATCTGCTGCTAGAGTGGAACAATATTGAGACAAAACGCAGAACATTTGTGATCTTTAAGAAGTTGCAGGGTTTTATAGGATACGCATTGACTGGAAGTGAAGCAGTGTGGCCACCCTAAAACATTTGCACGTGGAAAATTGTATTAAAGCTGGGTTGTCCCAATGATGGCATTAGAAGCACAAATCATCAGGAATGCACAATGCAAGGGATGTCTGGAAGAGCCCTTAGAGAAACAGGAGGAAGGGAGAAGGACAACAGCTAGCAGTGCATTTAAATAGCTGCTTCCAAAGAGTATGATTTTTAGCCCTGATGTTTCGGGTGCAATTTTAAATTAACTGTGCAGTGGCTGAATGCTGGCTTTCAGCCCCCGGAAGTATTTATGCAAAGGCTGAATGGCTACAGGGATGCTGTAGTTGCATCCCTCCTTGGTCCTGCATTGAGGAAAGGGGTAGCTTATTCTGTATATGAATTTCTGTGCCATCCTACGAAATTAGGGAAGCTTCCGATACGTAGAAAATAATGTTACAAAGACCAACAACATAAAACACAATAAAGAGCAAGGAATGTAATGGGGTTGGACTAATTAATCATCAAATCCTGACATAATGGGAACAGTTTGTGGTTGGATTCTGAATTCTATACAACTCAGGAACTACATTCTGTGGTTGCTGAGCGGTCATAGCTATAATGTTATTGAGGAACACTCACTGTGATGTATAAACAATGTTCTTAGGGATACACTTATTTCCCTAGGACGACATCAGCTTTCTTGCCCCATTTATTTTATGAACAATGAAATCATAGCATCTGGACTTTTAGGAAAATGAATAATTAGCCAAATATTACATCAACTATGGACCATAATTATGATGACGGAAGAGGAACAGTAGGCATTAATGCTCTCTGCCTTCTTACTAAAATTAGCTTCCTATTTGCTTCCCCCACCTTAACATCCAAGTGATGAGTTGGCCCGTGTCCTAATTTAGGATTGAATGCATATATTCACACCTGAATGCATGATTGTCCCAATATAGGATTGTCCCATCAATAGCTTTTCAGGCAACACAGAACACATGAAAAGCTGTAAGAATACTGTTTGTACTGTTGGGAGCTGCCCAGAGTGGCTTGGGAAACCCAGCCAGATGGGTGGGGTATAAATAATAAGTTGTTGTTGTTGTTGTTGTCTCTGACTGGCAGCAGCTCATTAGGTTCTTGAGAAGAGGTCTTCCCAGTATCTTCTATAATATAATAATAATAATAATAATAATAATAATAATAATAATAATAATAATAATAATAATAATAATAATAATAATTTATTTATACCCCGCCCATCTGGCTGGGCTTGCCCAGCCACTCTGGGCGGCTTCCAAAAAAATATTAAAATACTATAATACATCAAACATTAAAAGCTTCCCTAAACAGGGCTGCCTTCAGATGTCTTCTAAAAGCCTGGTAGTTGTTGTTCTCTTTGACATCTGGTGGGAGGGTGTTCCACAGGGAAGGCGCCACTACCGAGAAGGCCCTCTGCCTGGTTCCCTGTAACTTGGCTTCTCACAGTGAGGGAACCGCCAGAAGGCCCTCAGTGCTGGACCTCAGTGTCCGGGTAGAACGATGGGGGTGGAGACGCTCCTTTTCTACCTGCTCCTTTTAACTGAAGATGCCAGGAAGGACACCTGGAGCCTTCTGAATGCAACATGGGCACTTGTCAGAGCCATCTGTCATCTGGTGAATCAGCAAAGCATCACTGCACACCAGGCAGAAGCCAACCCACCTTGTTGGTTTAAAGTTCTTTCCCAGCACCTTAACATGCACATTTGGGTAATACTTTGAAGCTCATGTTTCCTGAACGCAGAGAATTGCATGGAAATGTGACGTTGCTCTTTCAGTTAAATCTTGATATGCCATTCTACTGGATATGCTTTCTGATACACAGTTTACCTGGGCTAGCTGGATTGTAGGGTCCTCTTCCTCCTCACACAGTGGAACATCGGCCCTCAGGACCAACAAGGCCAAGTGAAGGCCTTTCTCTCCAAAGTGCCGGACTAAAGCACTTCTCACCTCTGTCTTCACTTGCTCTCTGCTCAGGCTGCTGTGAGGGTAGCCGGGAGTGTCCAGCACTTGGACCTGCACAGTGAGCTCACTGCCTCGGCGACGGGCAAAGCCCAAAATGGGACAGCTGCGGCCTAGACTGCAAGATGTGGTCACGGAGGACGGGGAAAGAAAACTGGCAAAGTCTCTGCTGCCTAGAAGGGTGTTTCCTGTAGCACTTTTGCCACTCTGTGTCTTTCCAAGCAAGAGGAGGTTGAGCGTCATCTTGCTGTCGTCGGACATTGTGCTTTCCCTCCTACAAATCCCTGGAAACAGAAAAGAGAATTAATAATGCTTGGCAAAATAGGAAGCTGCCTTGTAGTGAGCCACACCATTGACACGTCTAGTCTTGTCCACGCTGACTGGTTTCAGACGGGGGACATTTCTAGCCCTTCCTGGAGATCGCTTGTATGGAGCCCTGTAGTACTGGATTCTTTCCCCTCCCATTTTGCCTCACATGCCCCTGAATGGGCATGTGAGGCAAATGCTCTTCCATCAGGTCTTGTCTCTTCCAAAATTAACAATGCTCTCCTGCAATAACTACTGTAAGTATAGGCTGGGCACAGTTTGGGTGGCCAGGCAAAGGAAGGTTTGAGGTACGTCAGTTGCTGGGAGTCACAAGTGGGCAGAGTGCTGTTGCACTAAATTTTGCTTTGAGGTTTTTTCAGAAGCATCTGTTTGACTACTGTGAGAAGAAGAAGAAGAAGAAGAAGAAGAAGAAGAAGAAGAAGAAGAAGAAGAAGAAGAAGAAGAAGTAGTAGTGGAGGAGGAGGAGGAGTTTGGATTTGATATCCCGCTTTATCACTACCCTAAGGAGTCTCAAAGCAGCTAACATTCTCCTTTCCCTTCCTCCCCACAACAAACACTCTGTGAGGTGAGTGGGGCTGAGAGACTTCAGAGAAGTGTGACTAGCCCAAGGTCACCCAGCAGCTGCATGTGGAGAAGCAGGGAACCGAACCCGGGTTCACCAGATTCCGAGTCTACCGCTCTTAACCACTACACCACACTGGCTCTGAAAAGGATGTTGGTCTTGATTCAGCAGGTTCTTCTTACATTCATAAGTACCTGTAGAAGAAATGTCTCTTTCAGCAACTGCTCCTTCTGTTAGGAATGAAAACAGCCGTAGTTTTATATAGGCAACAACTGTTTTGCACTGGGGTTGCTTTTTATCTATGGCTTATTTTGTTTGTTAGTAAGATGAAAATTATTGTTGTTATTGTTTAAAAGTCTGCAGTTCCTGAATCCCTTTCCCATACATGCACATCTATCCATCCCAGCAGGTAAAAGTTCTTATTATGGTTCAAATACACATTACAGCCAGGCGAAAGAACTGTGTAGCAGATCCAGTAAGGAACATGACCTAGGGAAACAGCCACATTTGGTCTGCAGACTAGAAGTACTCTGCCCTGGATTTAAAACAAAAATATAGCGGGAGCTACCTGTGAGCTGGGATTGCTGCCGCAATCCATGGTTGCTGAGTCTTGTATATTAGCGTTTGTTTATATATAGCATGAAGAATTTCTACCTTCATCTAACTGCATCAAACAACATTCTGAGCTTCAGGCAGTGCTCCAGTTTTTGCTTACCTTACTGTGTCCTAAAGGTCTTTCTCTGGCCACTTTCTCTCTTTAAGAGCCTTTGTCTTTGATGGGCAGCTTGTACTTTGAAGCAGATCTTGCTATTGTACCACAGTGAGACTGACACGGACTCTTTACTCAGGTTAATCGGTTACAGAGTGATCCTCATTTATAGCTGATAAGAAATGCCCCAATAATCTGCCTTGACACTTTACTTCCTTCTAGTTGTTCAGCAGGATTGCAATTTTCTGTTTGCTTTCACGCAAAGCTCATAAGAAGAGGTTTGTCACGAAAAAGTGCTTTGTTCAATTTCCTTATTGTTTGGAATGGCTACTACGTTGTATAAGGCAGCTGTTGTTTCCTTTTACACTTCTGCTATCTCCCTTTTTCTTTCTGCCATTATGCCTTGGGTAGTTTCTAAGCATCATAAACGCGCAGTGGCAAGCTCTGGTGAATTCATTTTCCAAGGGTGGGTCCTAATGTAGCCCAAACAGCACCATCTAAGATAGGCACTCCAAGATTTACAGAAGTACAGAAGTATTTTTAGGGAGCAGGGCCCTAAGGGTGGTAAACAATAACAAACCAGCTCAATGGAGACTGAGCATGCTCGATAGCCACAGAACACTGACTATTGGATGGAGAACTAAGGAGGAAGGAGTATGCAATGGAGTATACTAGAAAAGGCCATGGATCATTTGCTGCTGAAACTTTCAACGAGAGTATTCCACATGACAACATTTTATTGTAGACCCTTGTCTACCTATTTGTTCTTTGTCTACCTGTACAATAGTCATTTGTCAATATTTCATCTTCCTTTCCTAAAATTATTTCGGGCTCTTCTTTGACTAAGGAAGAGAATGCATGAATGGACTGGCTTGATGGCTGGGATCATCATGGACAGTGAACAGGCTCAACTCCAGTTGTGTCCCTGAGGGCACCTGAAGGGTTAACTGAACGGTTGTCATGAATTCCTATAATTAAAAGGAAAACACTGTACTTGGGACCAGTGCTGCAGTAAGGCAAAAACCTCTTGCTGTCTCACTTTCAGGGTTTCCACAAGAGTGTTCGCACCATCTCCTGTGGTATTTGCAATATTCAAACCCTCCATCTGATCAGTCCAGCCATCATAGTGATGAGCATTTGCTAGTGTATTAATAATTACCAGTTAATAGTAATCTCTGAATTTCTATTGCCTCCCTAGTTGAGTTATTTGGGGTGTTCAGCATGCTGTTATATAATGATAATAATAATATTTTTTTATTTATACCTTGCCCTCCCCGGCCAGAACCAGGCTCAGGTTCTGACCTAACACCAATAAAATTACAATAAAACGCAAAAGAAGAAGAAAAAACAGTTAATTAAAATACAGGTTAAAATACAATTTAAAATGTAGCTTCATTTTATTAGTAGCCCATAAATCAAAACCATAAGGGGAGGGAAACATAAGGGGCAGACTGAGTCCAAACCAAAGGCCAGGCGGAACAGCTCTGTCTTGCAAGCCCTGCGGAAAGATGTTAAATCCCGCAGGGCCCTGGTCTCTTGTGACAGAGTGTTCCACCAAGTCGGGGCCAGTACTGAAAAGGCCATAGCCCTAGTTGAGACCAATCTAACCACCTTGTGGCTTGGGACCTCCAAAGTGTTGTTATTTGTGGACCTTAAGGTCCTTCACAGGGTATGCCAGGAGAGGTGGTCCCGTAGGTTGCTGTGTATGCCTTCTAGAAAACATGGTCTGAAACCCCCAAGAGCAGCTATGTTCAGAGAGAAAAGCTGGATAAAACTATTCTATGAATCTTTGAATTTAGTTCTCTCTCTTATAGAAAACAGCATAGGCCAGACTCTCCTGTTATGATGCACTTCATGTGTTTTGGACTACAAGCTCACATCATCCTCAGCCAGTATGGCCAATGGTCAGAGATGATGGCAGCTGTAGCCCCAAACATCTGGAGGGCACCAGGTTGGGGAAGGTTAGCATAGACCCTTGGACCGTTTCATTTTATTAGCTTGGAATGCAAGATAATATCACATTAAAGCAGGCATGGTGAAACGACACATTATCAGACTGTACTTCTCCAACTCAGAAGAATGGCAGTTCTCCACAATGAGCATCGTAATGTGCATGACATCTGGAAGATCTTATGACCGCATGAGTAGAAGGATTTAAGAAACCTTTCTTCCTGTGGGGATATGACAAGCAGAACCTGAAGTTGATTTATGTGACAACGCTCAAGGCTTCTTCAACTTCAGGGAAGGAGTCTTCCCCAAGGTGGCAGCATATGCCTGTTTCACAGGTACTGATGCAACTAGCTGAAAGCTTCTTTTCTCCCATTCACAGCAAGTTAAGGACAATTAAGAATTTTGTAATCACATTCAGGTGATTATTGGGGGAAGAGGAAATGAACGAAACACTGGGGAAAATCTTTAACCCAACTAGCAGTGCTTGTAGATACTTGGGGCAGGGTTCACCCTGACCAAGGACTTATTTGATGCTTCAGCAAGTGAAGCCATCTTTTTGATTGCTTCCACTGTTTCCATTTCATTTACTTCTTTATAAATGTATTTATATTCTGTGCTACCAGGGCTTTCTTTCAGCTGCAGCTCACAGGAACTCAGTTCTGGCGCCTCTCAGGTGAGCGCCATTGCCATTATAAGAGAACAGGGGAGGCATTCATGGCGAGTTCCGGCACCTCTTTTTCTAGAAATATGGCACTGTGTGCCACCATGTTAAAAAATATAAGGCTTGCACCCAACAATATGTGAACAATACAATATAAACCACTATTAAAAGCAGTAGAAAACAATAATTTAAAGGACTGGCCAGTCAAGAACACTTAAAACAACCGCATAGGCCTGGTGGCATTAAAAAAAGTCTCCAAGAGATGCCCAAAAGTAAAAAGTGAGGATGAATACAGTCGAAATACACTGAGTGGAATGGCAAGTGGGATTGTCAAAGTTCCTTTCCCCCAGATGCCCGCCCCACCTTTTTTATTTAAATTTGCCAAGTGCATAAAGCTGAATGTGCACAAGTTAAATGTGTGTAAGTTGTCAGTTACTTGTACAGTGGTACCTCGGGTTACATACGCTTCAGGTTACAGACTCCACTAACCCAGAAATAATACCTCAGGTTAAGAACTTTGCTTCAGGATGAGAACAGAAATCGTGCAGTGGTGGCGCAGCGGCAGTAGGAGGCCCTATTAGCTAAAGTGGTGCTTCAGGTTAAGAACAGTTTCAGGTTAAGAACAGACCTCCAGAACGAATTAAGTTCTTAACCCGAGGTACCACTGTACTGTCAAAAGTAGTAGCAACTCATAAGTAAAGCTGGGCATTCTAAAAAGAGTGTAAGGAGGATCCTGTTGATATTTTAATTCAATGCATAGTGAATCCTTAGATCCCTTAGATTCTAGAAAGTCCCACTTTTCCTTAAAAGGTAAAGGTATCCCTGACCATTAGGTCCTGTCATGGACGACTCTGGGGTTGCGCGCTCATCTCACTCTATAGGCCGAGGGAGCACTTTTCCTTAGGATGTCCCTATTTTCATCAAAGAAATGTTAGAGGGTATGGAGTCATGTGACCCCTGAGCCAAGAAGATGAGCAAGTATACAGTCTTTAGACTATATCTGAAGGTAGCCCTGTATAGGGAAGTTTTAAAATGTTTAATGTTATATTATGTTTTTATATATGTTGGAAGCTGCCCAGAGTGGGGCAGCCCAGTTAGATGGGTGGGGTATAAAATATAGTTATTGTTATTATTAAATAGGGCGTCCCTATTTTCATAAACATAAAATCTTGTTTTATGTTTATATAGTTGTACCCAGTCAACATCTCGAAAATGTTTTCTTACATATCTACAGTATTACTAAGGGCTGCCACCCCTGCTTGCTCTGCTCATCAACCCCACCTGCCCACCGTTACCAAACCCACTTTCCTCCCCACATGGCCAACCCCCTGTCACTTTGTTGTTGTTGTTGTTTAGTCGTTTAGTCGTGTCCGATTCTTCGTGACCCCATGGACCAGAGCACGCCAGGCACTCCTGTCTTCCACTGCCTCCCGCAGTTTGGTCAAACTCATGCTGGTAGCTTCGACAACACTGTCCAACCATCTCAACCTCTGTTGTCCCCTTCTCCTTGTGCCCTCAATCTTTCCCAACATCAGGGTCTTTTCCAAGGAGTCTTCTCTTCTCATGATGTGGCCAAAGTATTGGAGCTTCAGCTTCCGGATCTGTGCTTCCAGTGAGCACTCAGGGCTGATTTCCTTCAGAATGGATAGGTTTGATCTTCTTGCAGTCCATAGGACTCTTAAGAGTCTCCTCCAGCATCATAATTCAAAAGCATTAATTCTTCAGTGATCACTTCCATACATCACTACTGGGGAAACCATAGCTTTAACTATAGGGACCTTTGATGGCAAGGTGATGTCTCTGCTTTTTAAGATGCTGTCTAGGTTTGTCATTGCTTTTCTCCCAAGAAGCAGGTGTCTTTTAATTTCATGACTGCTGTCACCATCTCATTGCTTTAGACATGACCAAACTCCCTTCCCTTTACATCTTACCCACCCCCTCACCTACCCCAAGCTTGCTCCTCCCCTCACAGCTCTCCCCAAGCCCCACCTGTTTTAAAGGAGAAGGCACTTCAGAAAATGGCTTGCCAAACTGCTCCCTGAAGCACCTCCTCTGTCTGTTAGACACTTACCTGGGTGGCCTGTCACTTGTGCCATTTACTCATGCACCTGCCTGCCATACTGCTGTCATGCTGGCATTTCCATAGACCCCTATTGGCAGCCATACAAACTGCACTATGATGACAGCCTTACGTTTCTATGTATATAGGAAACTATGTCACAATGGTTGTTATAGTTAATGTTTAATTGGGAAATAGAAATATGTCCAGAAGAACTGTACCTTTTTGACAGTGGGATATATCTTCTAGATAAGCTGTGTTGCCGCCCATATCTTCACTCTCTTTGATTCTTGGTTCCCATGCATTCCAGCTCTTTAGAACTTCATTGCATACAGGCACTCTGATATAGCCAGAGATAATGCCACAATAAACAATTTAAGATGTGCCCTCGTGCATTTCACACTCTCTGGTGGGAAACAAAATGACATCAATTGATGTAG